TTTTCTATTTATAATTTAATCGATTGATATTTCGAACAAAAATATTCTTTTTCGCTTGGACTAATACTTAACACATAAGTAAATGTTTTGGTTTGGCGGCAATTTCGAAATCTAAGTTTGCCGCTTTATTTTATAAGAAATTGCAAATTCGAAGCAAAATCAGGCGTCTTCTTCGAATTTGCTCTGCGTCTTACTTATAATATTCACTGGCATCTTTCCCGGCCGCCATAGCAGGTTAGACCTTCGCAATTTACTCCGGTTCAGAAAAATCACTGTTCAATCCCCATTCGCGAGTCTTGATTCAGTCAATTATTCGACCAAATTTGTCCCGATTCGAACCCGCTTACATGGCTTGTCAATCCGATCTCCATGTGTCTCTCATTTCTGCAGAAGAGGTTTCTGTCTCTCTGTGCATTTTGAAATGTATATGCTGCGTGCGAATGTATACTGTTTGGGAATGAAGTGGATTTGGGTTGATATCAGGTGGAATTCATGGCGGAAGATGAATAGGTGGAGATTACAATGAATCGTCCCTATTTCATTTCTGTACCTTCCTTCTCTTATGTTTATCTTTTTATACACCTTTTCCTTGTTTGCCTATTTTTCTTTCTGTGAGAGGAATCGGTATCATGAATGCTTGCTTTGATGTAATTCCAGGGCGAATTTGGTCCCATTTGCGGTTGAAGTGCTTCTGTAGCTTGCGGTGGCTCTGAAGAAGAGAGGGAAGTGTGCATTACGGCCTCCTCAGTGGATGTCAGTGGGTCAATTTTCTGTTTCCTGCTTTCTATGTCATGTGTTGTTGCATAGCTTTCGAGTTTTTCCTCTGCTTTTGTACTGAGATTAGTAATACTAGTGAAGTTAATGTCTGAATTATCAAGGTGGTTGCCAACCACGGTTGTGGTTCAATAGTAAAGGCTCAGTGGTGTGGCACCTTGGTCCACATGGTCATCGTTTTACTTGTATCTGAAAGGTTTTTGTTAATGAATTTATGATGAAACTGAAAAATAAGAAAGGGTAGTGCACACGAAGACATTCATTCCTTCCTTCCTGATATGTATATATGTTTGGGGAGTCTGGGGATTCTTTTAAACTGTTGTTAGTTGTGCATTTGGATTGTGTAAGAACTTCATAGAAATCGTTTCTGTAGGTAATGTCTCTTACTGAAGACATTAGGGACGTAGGGCTTCACAAAGTTGAGACCAGCTCCAGCTTAGAGAAGTTCAGAGGTACATTTCTTTCCAATGTGTCTAATTATGTATATACTGAGTCATGGTTATGTAATCTGCCATGGAAATGAATCTAATCCATCCATTTGTTGGTAGAGCTCCATAGGCATTCTATAAACATGATAATCTATGGAAAATACCACATGTAGATACAATATCCAGTGAACAACCACAAGCAGCTAATAGAGAGCCAAGAGTATGTTCTCCCTTAATTTGACATATCTATTTATTTAAGGCATATGATATAACAAGTAGTAGTGACTTAAGCTATGGTGGCCATACTTTTCTTATAAATCTTTTCTGCTTTTATGTATTGATTACCAATTTGTCATTTTGCTTTACAGCAGCCTCTGAGGAGATAACAAAGTAATTGACTTCTCTAATTTGATTCCAAACTTGGAATCTGTAATTTTGGCCAGCAAGCAAAGAAGGTAATTCTTGATTTCTCTTTGAAACCACGTCAAGAGAATCCTTTGTTATTATAAGCATTAAGATTATCATTTTTTCCACAAATCTGTGATAAATTCAATGCAAACAATCTGGATAAGTGGAAAATTTATTGATACTTGGTGGTACAAAACACATGGCCTAATAGCCTATATCAAGATTTCAAACTGAAATATGTTTATTATGTCTATTGCAAAATGAAGAGTTGAAGTCTATTACAATTTACAGGTTGTCTTAGAGGTGTATAGAAGCCCCAGTTTTTGACTACAGAAATGAGAAACTATTGATAATTGGTTGAATTCTAAATGGAAACGTGTTTGTGAAGTCTATTACAAAATGAAGACAAACCATAAGATGACTTAGTATGGTGTATAGAATTAGAAACACAATTTTAAGGACTACAAGAATGAGATTATATTATTGACGGAGTGAATATTGAATAGGATTTGAGAAAACAGGTGTGCTGTGACCCTATGTCAGGATTGGAATGGTTTTCATATCCTTTATCTTTTGAGTTTAAGATTTCAGATTCTGAACATTTTGCAATTTATACTGACGTTGGATTGTGTAGATGTGATTCCTGAATAAGCAAAATCCGGTTTTTCGCTCTAGAATTTGGGTGTTATCATCTGTTTCGCAAGGGAAGCAACCAGCAATAGCTTTTGGTTAGATCAAGTTATTAGATTCAACTTTCAAGGTATTAAAATTGTGCCTTTAATTGTCTTGTATGCATTTTTTTAATACATTAAAAGAGTTAGTTGACTGATATTACATATTCAAATTTCTAATCTTGATTTCAAATCAAGGTTTTTAAAATAATTGATATTAATTTGGTTAAATTTTTATTAGTATCAACTTATATGCATATGTGTTTACATAATTTAATATTATTAAGGGTTTTTTTCTATTGCCGTCAAGGAAAGAAAGGAATTTTTTTAACATTTG